ACTTCAAGTAAAAGCTTTCCATCGATATTCACATCTTCCTAGAGGTCAAGTTACTTTGGATAGTAGAGAAAGTTTATACTGAAGACAAATTTTCAAACAACATACATCATAAGGGTGTACGCAAATGTCATTTTAATATGGCGTACGGCAAACCTTGGAAATTTTGTTTCTGCGAGCCATTTACATCACAAAGATCTGCGCAGGACGTTACTGTGGGGTCGGTAAATAACCCCAAGGGAATAAAAATGAAATACTTGGGGGTAATGAGGATTCAATAGACATCAATAAAATTATATTAAAGGCCCGTTCCTTGTTATGACAGAAACTTTCTTCTAGCAACACGACGTGTTTAGGAGAAGCCATGCCATGTTCAACTCCAAGCAATTTGGTGGCTACGGCCTTGCCAAGTGGTTAAGCAGATATTATTTGTCATTTGTATATTATCCGCCTTAAGTTTATTTTTTTGGCATATATGTTTTTGCTTTGTTACAGGATCGGGAACACTGGAAACTCTGTCTGACGGGTCTGCCTCCGTGACCCGAAGGGAGAAGCGGCGATGGAAGATGAAGAAGATGAAGATGAATTTAAACTTTCTTTACTGCCCAAAGTAAGTTTTAGGAAGCTCTGGGAATCTGTGAAACTGTAAATATCGATAGAAAGCTTTCACTGGAGTTATTTACATCATCATTTTTCCATTGACTATTGAACGAATTTTGGCGTACAATTGGTTGAGTGAACGTCGTTGAAAACCACTTATAATCGTTTAATTTATATACTTCTTGTGCGCATCATTAGCATAAGATCATTATGAACTACTGAAGATAGTTTAATATCACTTCTACACACTCCAATAATGAATGACTGCTCCAAGACTAGATTTCACGGTGTTCTTCAGCGCCTCCTTGCTCCTAGTTACATAGAAAGTCATTTAAGCAGACTACCACTGAGTGATATTTGGGTACCTGTAGAGCATCGAGGCTGTGCCATAGGCTATGAAATATGGACTTTGAAAAATTGTTCGTTGTTTAGCATATTCTGGCACACGAACAGCTTATGGTTTAAGCGGTGTCGCAGAATGTGTCTTATCAACAGTAAGGAGGAAATCAGAAATTTTTTCTTAAAGGGTACACCTACAGTTTATGACCCTTAAGTAAACTATTATTTTGGGAGAAGGAGAGCAATTATTATCAGGCGGACCAGTTAAATAAACCGGTTTCTTCTACTAGTTGGAAAATTAATTGTTAATTTCAAAACTTCCATTTAGTTGCTTCTGACCTGTATTTTAAAAATTTTTCAAAGTAGGTTGGACGACCCATTTATATGTAAGGAACGATACTGTGAATGAGGCCAGAATCAGAAGACCCATCGGTGAATTCCATATAAAAAGGCATCGTTCCGAAGGAACCGTAACACCATGAGTAACGCTTTCATCGCCTTCGGCTTGTTTTCGTATTGGGCTGCCTTCGGCCGGGTTGAAGCTGCGGCGATACCGTCATCCCTGTCCAGCGAAGAAAACGATTTGACCAGAGATGTCAACGACCTCCCGGCGTTGTTTGAAAGACACTGCATTGGAAAGGTTCACTTCCTGAAGTACCCGAAGGTCCGAATGTCC